ACACAAAGTACAGCTGAGGCTGTAGGTTTTTCAGGTATTTGACCATAAAGCAAAGACGTAATAATGACACTAGAGGAGAAGTTAAAACTGCTATAATCAATATTTTTTTACAATAACAATGTATTAAATAAAGAGAATTTGCATTTGGCAGCTAAAGAGCCCAATATTTCCTTTAGGAGTTGGTAGAAATCAAAAACGGAGCCAAAAATACATGAACATTGGACCTAAGTTCATCAGGTGGCCAGAAACAAGACTCTAAATGAAAGATAATGTAATAACTGCTGGATGTGTAAATAAGCATCTTAAAGGTGATGATATGTCTTTCAGGTGCCCACAAGTGAGCAAAATATTCTCTTAAGGCCAGGTATAACACCATAGGAGATTGTTGTTTTAAAAAAAATTGACCTTACACAGGTAGCAAATTGCATTAAACTCAAACAGATTTTGTGTTCATGTGTAACCAAATACATGACTGTTAGTCCATCAGGAGCCCCACAGGCCATTGGCAGACAAACCAGAGGACGACAGTAAAGCTGCTGACAACCCGCCATCCACATTACTCCCATGCAACAATGTACGAGGCCCCACATTCTTGTGATTTTAATTAATTATTAGCATAAACAAAGAAAAAGAGCAGCGAGTGGTGGACATGTTTGAATAAACAACAAGAACTTTACATCTGTGTTTGCTGATATAATCTCTCACAAAACAAGTAGTTCACCTTTTCTTTTATGAATCAGTTTTCTTTATTATTTTACAGTTGGAGAAACAACTCAATTAGCAACTTAGAGACAAATAGATGTATAATAACTTACATTTTAACAGATAAAATCTGTCTGAGTTCCATCACCATAATGTAAATTAAAAGAAGCTTAGCTGGCTCCTTTTTTTTAACACTGCAGTCACAATCACCGTGGCAACCTGAGCATACCAAAACAATATCAAAAGGACTGAAAGACCGGCTTGTGGAAGTGAATTATTGTGTGGTAGGGTACTGTGTGTTCCCTTGAGGCAGGTACAGGTACTTGTGTGCTCATCCCGTCCTAACTTTAGTCCAGGTTCAGGATAACAGATTCAAGGATGGAAAAATGGATCCATCAAGCTTCATCAGCTTCCAAAACTTTATGGGACTTAAAGAAAGAAACGTTTAATGTATACCAGGTTCTTATCAGACAAATGGCCAACAAAGTATATATAGTCAAGTGATCAAACAAAAAACTATATGCAACAGAACAATTAAAACATTTGTACAGACAAAAATCACCAAAATATATAGAAAATATTTGGAGCCACATAAGAAGAAAACTGTAAGAGTAACACCCCTGCAGACATGATCATCCATTTAGGTGCCAGAAGTCAACATTTCTGCTGTTCAATACTTCAGTTTAGGATCAAATATCTGCCAAACTAATGACATTTCCCATCAGCCTCAGCTTTACTTTGTGTTCAGTGCTAATTAGCGACGGTTAGCATTCTGACACACCTAACTAAGATGGAGAGCATGGTATACCTGCTAACCATCAGCACGTTAGCAAGTGAGGCTGTAACTTGCTGACGTTAGCGTTTAGCTCGAGGCACAGACAGTGTCTGAGTCAGAGCCTCACAGAGCTGATGGCATGACTCGTCTTATGTTCACAATCCTCTTTTACAGACTGCACAAGCTAGCTTTATGTTTTATCTCTAATGCTGTGAGCTCTGTAAAGAATATTTTAGGGGAAAAGTTCAAATGAACTTACGTTTTAGGGAAGAGTTTTTCATAGGGTGTCCTCATACTGATAGATACACAAGGGTTTGTGTGTGTGTGTGTGTGTGTGATCCATCTCCCGGTGTTGGCACCTGCTATAATGGGCTCTGGGGAGGGAATGAGAGAACAGGGGGCTGCCTCTCTTCCCCTTCACCTCTCCCTCAACATTGCTGTGCAGTGACAGCTTGATTTCTTTCCCTCTCTGGGCTGCAGCACAGTGACATGATGGGCCTGTTCAGTTGGTCTTATCACAGTGTGTGTGTTTGAAGAGAGTGGAGAGCGGATGGAGGGAGACATGAGGGGGGTAAAGCAGAGTATCCCAGCTGAGGAAACGCCTGTCTGACCTTACTGCTGAGAGCAGCTTCTCATTAGCCAGCGTGTCTCTGATCAGCCCCTCCTTCTGTCTGACAACGAGCCACGGACTCGCAGGCAAACACACAACACACACAATCAAAGGCAGTGATGTCAGTCTGCATTGTTAAGTTATGGATCTCCTCCTTTGTTAGTGAGAATTTTAGTTTCAGTCATAACAATGATATTAGATTTACTTTTGATGACACGTGTCTAATCATGTCAGCTTTTTCTTAACTGCTTATATTGACTGTTTACACCAAGAAAAGTGTATATAAAGTTAAAATATAAACTAAACAAGAGCAACTCAACTCAATATTACAGTAAGCAGCATACAGTGCCTGCAAACAGTATATTAATGTAATAATATAATATGGGAAATACAATATAAGGTTAAATGTAGAAATGTAATATGTATAGCACAGTAAAGCAATATAGCATATAATATAAAACATGATAAAGCATAGTATAACCCAAATTACACACACACACACACACACGGTTTCTCTCATTTAGGTTTTCTTTCAAAAAGTTAAGTATTCGTTGGGTTTAAAAACTTGAAATGAAGGTTATTTTAACAAAGTCTAAAGAAAAACTGGTTAATCACAACTTGGATCTTATTTTCGTCCTGTGCCCTCTTTTTCCGAGTTAAAATCTGTGTACCTGTCCATGTGGAGCTCACGTGGATCATTTTATGTCAGGTAACATATTACATCAGGGTTTGCTGTGGCACTGATCACAGCAGCCCACTGTGACTGAATAAAACTACATTTTATAATGAGACTGAATGCATCAGTAACGTCATAATTCCACATAATCTTAGTGAGGTCAGTGCTGATAACAATTGGACCAATTCCTAAAAACACTGTGGTTCCAACTCGAGCTGCACAATTATTCCCAATATTATCGAAATCGAGTTTTTTTGATAAAAGTAAAAATAAGTGTCCAAACAGCCTTATAATGGAGTACTGTAGTGCTGCAGAGATTCACTGGTCTACAAATCTTGTTCTCCAGATTTGAGAAAACGTGTCACATCATCACGATTTCAGTAGTTTTTTTCAGCGTAAATGTAAAAATAATAATTCCCACTAATCGTAAATCATATCACAGAATCTGTCAAAATAATCACAATATGCAGTTTTTTACTATAATTTTGACCATATTGTGCAACATTAGTTCCAACAAGCACAGATGTTCATACAGAGCAGAAAT